AGCCGGTCAGCGTGACTCGCGAAGTTACACGACCATGCTTCTCGACAAGGTCATCCCCGCTATCAAAGCGAAATTGGTCCCAAGGTGAGACCCAAGGGAGTGATAATCTAGCAGGACAACGCCAAGCCTCACGTTCCCCATCGGACCCTCGCATCGTTGCTGCGTGCACCGGCGGCGGGTGGGCCATGCAAGTGAGGTTCCAGCCACCCAACTCGCCAGACCTCAACGTGTTGGACCTGGGGTTCTTTCGAGCGTTGCAGACTCTTGAAGAACGGAACTATTCGCGCAACATTGACGACATCATTGCTGCAACCGATGAAGCGTGGCAGGATGTCGACATGATGACGTTGAACGCCAACTTTCTCACGTTGCAATGCTGCATGCAAGAGGTAATGTGCGTGGAAGGCGACAACGGTTACAAAATCCCGCATATGAAGAAGGCGAAACTGGCTGCTGTGGGTATGTTGTCCGAGGTTATTTGCGTTGATCGTGACCTGTTTGATGACGGGTGTCGACTACTCAGTGCTACTGATATCGACAAGAAGATCGACGAATTGGCACTTGAAGTGGCACAGGCGATGGACATGAGCGAATTCAGCTCGCAAATGGAGAAACTCTCTGTTGACGGTGAGCTGGAGGATGACATTGACTTGGATCTGGCGCTGCTTCTGGGCATCAAACACTTGTTGTAATGTATGTTGCGCGTAATCCATTGGTCAGATTAGAGGCATTTCTTACAGTAGTACACTTGAGGCAACTTTTCTCGTATCTCAGTTTTTCAGTTTGGGGTAACTATTTTCGGACAGAGGTAGTATGTAACAAGTTGGGTTGATCACAGCTTCGACAGCTAAATTTTCCATCAAATCCGCTAATACTTCGTCATCGACATACCCACTGCCATCAATGGTTTCAATTGTTTGATCATCAATGAAATCGCAAGCCTTGAAGCCATTAACAATTGTAGATTCAGGTAGACGTCCAAACAGACGTAATCCGCGAGACCACTGTACCTCGCGATGGGGCCTGGACTTTGAACTATGTCTTCATTGCCTTCGAGCGTCTAATTTTTTGCCGCAAAATATCAATCCACTTGTCTCGGCGGCGGGACTTCAACGGACAATTCCACGCAGCATCCGCCGGCTGGCAAATCCACGAAAACCTTGGTGGGATCCTCACCAACACAACGTTGATGGGCGTCGCGTAGGGCCACAACTTCTTCAGTCCAATGCGCCGAAACGTCATCCCAGAACAACAGAACTGGGTTGGTGTCACGATCCGGGCGCTCGGAAAAGTTGAACTCCAAAAACGACAACGAAATGGATCCGTTCCATCATTCCGTGGGCTTTCCGTAGATCCGGTAGTTGAACTTGGCTTCCATAGGCTCGACAGACTCCCACAGCCGTTTACCTAAGCCTTGTCGCTCAACAAGGTTCTCCTGCACGACGGCCTTGCCTTTGGACTTCGTCGTGCGGATGATTAAGAACAGAGGGTGCTTGGTTCGAGCGGAATTCGCCAACACCATTACTGTGACTCACTCCTTGGTCTTTCCGCCACACTTCACCCAATCGGTCTTCTCGCCGACGTCGTTGATGGTCTTGGTCGGGAGGTATTCGCATTTCACAGCAGTTAGGTCAGCATTGTAGACCACATCAAGCGCCGTGCTCACCCATCAAGTCCCGAACGTGCTGTGAAAATTCTTGGCGCGTCGCTATGCCATCTTCATTGGACTCTTGACCGACACGAGAGCGCGCACGCAGCGACAGCTTCTGACGTCGCTTGAATACAACCATCCAGTGCCACCCCGCCTTGAACTCGTTTTCACTGTAGCCCTCGTCGACGGTGGCTTCGAGTGCCATGAGCTGAAGCATTGGGTGCGTGACTGGGACCCCGTATTTGCGCATATCGTGCGCCCAACGAACGAGCATCTCTTCTACATCGGTGTGGGCCGAACCATCAGGTAGGGTAGGTATACCAAGGTGGGGGGCGGCACGAAGCATGTCACCGAGGGGCTTAATGTAGAGGTCGAAGGACAATGGACACTCTTCTTTGGTGCCACGGTTGGGATGAATGGCTGGGCCGATGGCGTTGGACAGCAGGAGGTGCACCGATGGTTCTGTGTAAAGTACTTTGACCTAAGTCAGGAAACTTGGTCCAATCATCTTGAGAAGAACATCGAACAAGAAGCTGTGGTCAACACGGTCATAAGCCTTGGAAAAATCGAGGAACGTCGCATAATGTTCTCGCTTTCACGAGTGGCACGATACTGCAGGGCCTGGATGAGATATACTCATACGTCGAACTTTGACAAAGCCCGTCTGCGTTGGATGAATCGGCGTTTGGGTAACCGTGGACAGTCGATATGCGAGGGTGCGCGAAAGATCTTCACCTCGACGGGCATGAGCATGATTGGACGGTAGTTACCGGGCATAGCACGATAACCTTTCTTGTACACGAGGGTTACAGCGCTACGACGTTGGTGCGGAAAAAGAGGTCGGTGATGCTGGCACTTGAATACTCGAACCAGGATTTCGGCAAAGGTGTCCGGTGCCAAGAGGAAGACTCCACGGTGAATCCTTCGGAGCCATGCGAGCGATTGCATGGACTGGAGTGCAGCACGGAGCTTTGACGCTTCGAGGGGTCGATCGTCCCGGTGGTTAACTGCTAGCCTTTTGGTGATATGGCCGAGAACATCCTGGTAAACTTATGGATCAGTGGGTGGCTGGCCCTCGGGTTGCACCATATTTTGAGACCAGTACTCAGTAAAGACACGTCTCACGTCCGCGGGGTCATCGTACACTATACCGTTTTGCGAAGCTGATACAATTGGGACTTGAGCACGGGGGACTTGCGGAGGAAGTGGGCTGTTTGTTTTTCATTCGACTTCGAGTGTCGGTCAAAACTTTTATCAAGGCAAACTTGTCGATGTTGGGCAATAGCCGATGAGTAGATGGATTCGGCGGCGCGGACAACCTCGTCGGGGACGAGGCCAGCCTGATGGTCGTTACGGGTTCGATTCCATCGGGCCTGCAGCCTGCGAAGTGACTTCGGATAGAGCCAGTGGGAGTTGTATTGGGCTCGTCGCAGCTATTTTTGCATGCGACGGGGCCACCCAGTTCACTTGGCACCAATGTTGCACGCTGGAGAGGTAACAATTTCATCGAGCAGACGACCTGCTTCGACTTGAATTGCTCTGGCGATACTGACATCACGTAGCAGCTCACGCGAGAGGCGCCAAAGGCGGCGAGAGTTATTGGGGAGTCCATTCGTCCTCGCAGCAACAAAAGTTGTGGTGTGGGTCATGTGGTCACCGTTATACTGGCCCGGATCGAATGTATAGAGACACATGAAGGTGAGCAACCCTTTCCACGTCGGCGAAAACGTAGTCGATCCGGTTTCGTCCACGCAGACCCGTAAGGACTTTTTTGTTCGGTTCTTTGGTGCGCCAAGAGTCGACAACACGGAGCGCTGACAGCCATTCACACTATTCATCTTTACCGACGTGATGGTTTGGGTGGAATGCTGTCGTGTCCAAAGCAGCGTCCACAGCGAGGTTAAAATCGCTGCCGACAAAGTGCCGACTGGCCGGCTCGAAATCGCGTTGATGGTACATATACGTTGTGGAAGTAGACAGGGGTGGAATCCCACTCCGTTCGAACAACGAGGTATCGGTCGGGAATGCGCAGTGGCTGAGTAATTTGAGCGATGCGAACCCGGCTATCGACGAGTGGAAAAACGTGGCGACACCTTTGCTACGATGGGGGTGGGGTCCATGCATGTTGGTTCGGTGGTCATTCACGTAAAACTGGAACTCGCCATTGCCAACATGGTTGGAGATGTGGCGTCGAACGGTGCGGAAGTGATCATCGTTTTCGAACTTGGTTTCTTTAAAGAAGACACAGGAGGGCAGGAGTTTGCCAAGAGTGGATGCAGGGGAGTCGTCGCGAAGGTTGAAGCCGTTGAGGTTGCAAGTGGTAATGGAGACATGTGAGGTACCTCCGAGGGTTGGTCTAGCCACAAACTTAGCCGGTCGTGGATGTCACTGTGTCCGTCCAGAGGTCTTCGAGGCTTCCATGAGTAAGGGACATTGTGGATGAGTCGAACATAACCTGGCAGGATGGA